CATTTGTGTGGCTTCTCTGCATAGGAGTGAATCTCTCCTGTAATAGCAGTTGGTTATGACTTGTACAATATGTATTTCCAAAATGTTTCTGCCCTGAAAGATCCATAAAACTATATATGATAGTGTCTCATTCCATTTAATCTGAAAGACTCCCATGACCTATTTACTAATGACTCCGTAATGAATGGATTAGAAAGGTACTGAAAAAACCTGACTGCTAAAAGTAGCTACGACTTTTATTAAAAAAGCCAATACTTCAAAAAACACCTCCCAACCATTACAAACTCCAAAGATTTCCACTCTAGAAAGGCCTGATCAAAGCTCATTCTTCATACCTCTCTATGTATTCATATATGGATATATATGGATTGATGACCAGTGTGATGACTGACTGCTACTCAAATTCAGAGTCAGAATGCAAGATTTACAGTATACTTGGCTGACAACTATGTAATTTTTCTAAGTTTTATAGCACAAACACTATACCTTAATAGCTAAAATTAAGATGAAACTAAGTTTTTTCCAGGTTAAAATATTTTTACTCTGTCTTCTGTTACAGCAGCAAACCAGAATTTTAAACATGAATATTACTTCAATTAAACAGCAACAATATCTTTATCAAGGACTCAAAAATCTGGTAAAGATGCCCTTTAAGGCTCACAAGAGAAATTCCACCAATTAAGCTACTACTAACCTTCAGCTTCAAGATGCAAAAAAGGTTTTAAGATACCAATATTCATTCATTTGATTCTACTTTTATTTTCAGTCTGCTGGGGAGGAAGAATGAATCTGAAAAATCTAGAGTGAAACCATAACATCTGAACAACATTTTCAAGATTTTTTTTTTCCTTGGGGATTTACACATTGCTTTCTCATTTCACTTCTTCATGCCTTCTGACATTTAAAGGACAATTTTAATGCTGTTTAAGAGAGTTAAGATGCTAATCTTGATGGCAAAGAAACTCTTTCAAATCTTACACTATCACTTAAATTAATGAAGGGTTAGCAAGCAGCAGGAGATTTTATTATGTTTTTCAGTAGTGGCCCATCAACAGAAAGAAAATATTTCTAAAAGCACAAAGTTGTTCCTTTCACTAACACAATCATCAGCCATTCCAGCTGACATAAATAATTGCAAGACATAATTCACTATTAAATTATTCCTGCACTAAATTAGGGTACCTCAATTTGTGTAGAAAAGAGCTACACCAGCTTAAAATTGGTTGCAATGGCTGTGAATCAGTGCCCATGTTAACATCCTGATTGTTTTGGGAATAATTACCAAAAAATCTTTTGGGTTTTGTAGAAACTGCAAAACCAGCAACTATATTCAGAGGGGTTTTTTTAGTGAGAGGTAGCTTTATGGTTGCCAGTCCTTCCCATGTCTTCCCCTATCTGAAAATGCCCTGAGTGAAGAGAGGACGTTGCATTTCCCTGGCCCTTAGACTGCAGCCAGATCTGGACTGTGGCAACTCTTTTATTATTAGTAGTACCTATATTATATAATAATTTAGCGTTAGAACATCATTAACATGTGCGCTGAAACCACAATGGGAATTTGATCAATACAACTGTAATTCTACAAACTGGAAGACGCATATGGGAAGGGATGAAAATTTTCTTCTCCTTAAACAAAAGTTTCAAGGCACCTCAAAGTGATGACAGGTAATTGGGAGCTCAGCTTAAGGTAGTAACTTTAGCAGGAAATCCACCGGTTGCAGCCAGACCTCACTTCCTCAGCCCCAAAGTCAAAGGGACTGTTAAATTAGTTCAGTGGTTCTGAAGCAGTTTCTCCCAAAAAACACACCACCACCCTTCTTAGTCTATGTGATGTGGTGGCACCACATCTCACCTTCTCTCACCTCACAGCACCTGTCAGCCGTGATGAGAAACGAAACCTCCCGTAACCTACTGGATTTGAAAAGTTCAGAATATTTCTCTCTAAATGAGGGAACACCCTGATTACGTGTTCTGTGCATTTGTAATACGCTTCTATATTCTGCAACCTCATTTCAGAAACTGAAAGCAACAAGTTGGCACACAGCAAGGAAAGGCTGGGAGTGAATGCAGTAACGACCTCAGAAACAGGGCAGCGTTCAGCCCCTTTGACCATAGCTTAGGATTCTTAATTTCATATACTTCAAGTAAATTGGAGCTTCTCAGGACATCGGACATAAGCAAATACCAGATCCCTGTGATTTTTAGAGGCGCATCAATCCAATACAGCTGTATTTTATTTTATCATCATTATTTTCAGCCATGGGGATGGAGATCAAAGATAAGCGTTGTGCTGATGTAAAAAGGCAATGTTTAGCCTGAGAGACAGTCAGGTTAAATTAAACATGAGTTTCAAAGCAATTAAATTATATACCTTGATTTAAAGCTGTCAGGTGGCATCAGTTCCAGTGTATGTGCTGGTCCATACAGATTAACTACAAACAGCTTTATTGTTGGGTTTGTTTGACCTGCCTTTGAAAAAAAGAAAGAGCGAGCTTCAGAGGCACTGAATCAGTGACAGCTAAATAGAATCACTCATTAACATAATTCAGTATCTTTATAATAATGAGACATTAATACAATTTAAAAATCTTAAATTTTAAAAAATAATTTTACATCCATATAAATTACACAGATAAAAATATGAAGTATTAGTTGAGTAATTACGACACTGCCTTTACGGATGGCAGACCTTCCCATGCAGAGCAAGGGACTAACGCTAGAAGTGGTTTGGCCCAGATCAGTAAAGTCAGCTGCAAAAACATAGCCAGTTCCTAAACCAGCAGTTAAACCCAGCCTCCAGCCAAGTCTTTTCCAGACACTATTGTTCCTTCTTCCAAAAGGATGTCCTATATCTGGGATAACATTCCTCCTCTTCCTCCTCTTTCTTTACCATTTTCCCCCAGTCTTCCTTCCCTGGCTTGCTGAGATGGAAACCTCTATTTTTGGCACTGTTCAGGACCCAGCTGCTTTGGCAGGCCAGCTCTAAGAGAAACAAAATGCTTCTTGTTGCAAAAGGGGAATAAAATGGCAGTTTGATATATATCCACTGGGAAGAGC